TTTTTTTTTTTTTTTTTTTTTTGCTTTTTGCTTTTTTGATATAGGATTTCACTATGTAGGTCAGGCTGGCCTTACACTCACTTTCTTAGCCTGGGTGGGCCTTGAACTTAGCATTCCTCCTGCCTCAGCCTCTGTATGCTGGAATTACAAGCACACCCGGTGAACACCATTATTTCTGTCGCTTGTTGCTAAATCTTTATCAAGTGAAATTGCTGAGCTGGTGATAAAGGATATTTTTGGTGTTTGAAAAGTAACTACAAGTCAGTATGCAGTTTAAGACAAATGGTGTGAAATACAACATCAGTGTCCATTAAGAACATCATTAGTCCTTGTACTTGTCTTTGGCAAGTACTGTATTGCAACAAAACCTTGTCATACTGCTGAGCATCCTGCTTGATTTTATTTTCTTTGCTCTGTGGTGACTTTTTTACTTGCCTCAAGAGTTGCTTATCCAAACATCCACTCCAGATAGTGGCAACAAAAACATAACAACATGAAACTTCTGGGTAGCTGTGGTGGTGCCACACCAGTGATCCCAAGCACATTGGGAGGCTGAAGCAGGAGAATCACAGGAGTTCTATCTTAGCTGGGCAGTTTAGGGATTTAGTGAAACCCTGCCTCAGAGAAAGTCCTATCTTAGAAATAAGATAGGACTGTAAGATGGGACTGGGGACATAGCTCTTTGGGAAGCCTTGGGTTCATCTCTCAGTACTTAACAACAAAGAAAAACCTAAACTTTTAACTTTTCCCTTTGTGTGACTTTCCATCCTGTGCTCCCTTACTGGCTCTCCTTTGCTTTTGCTTCCTAGCTTTGTAGGCTGGGGTCTGCTATTAAGCTGCTTCACCAGTCATTATAAATGTTCAGCTGATTGTTAATGGACTAGGACTAGGTGAGAGCTTTTTGCATAATGAAAGGGAAAAATATAAAATGTTTAATTTTGTGAATCATAATGCTTAATTCAGTGATGATTTTGGTTTGAATAAAAAGATACATTTTTCTCATTCATGTTGAAATGTCATTTTCTTATTTAAGGATACCGTCTGGAGGATATACCTTTCAGCATTTGTCAAACTTCATATGACTATCCTCAGTAGAACTAGAACTAAAGACTATTTTTTATCAATTATATTTTAAGTATTAAGAAATCAGTGTTTCTTAGATTTGAGAAAGTTGTTTCAGGTCATAAATATTCTTTAAGTGTGTCAATAATGTTATTGCTTGCTTGACTTAATCTTTTATAGCCTGCACTTAATTTAAGGGACCTTGGATTATCTGAATTAAAAATTGGGCAGATTGATCAACTGGTAGAAAATCTACTTCCTGGATTTCACAAAGGCAGAAATGTATCTTCCCACTGGCATGCATCACATGTTTCTGCACAGTCCTTCTTTGAAAATAAATATGGTATGTTCATATCTTTTTGGTTTTATTGAAAATAAACCATTTAAGTTTTTTAAAAAGTAGATATTATTTATTAGCATTTACTGTGGACCAGGTTCTATATGTTTTCTCCCCTCCTTGTAAGTTTTCATATTGAAATAATGATAGATTTACAAAAAAATTTCAAAGATAGTATAGAGAATTTTCATATACTCTTTACCTCGCTTCCATTAATTTTGACATCTTCCATAACCATGGTATATTCACTAAAACAAATTCACATTCACACACACACAGTTTTGTGTAATATGTTTTTTATTTGTGGAACTGGGGATTTAACCCAGAGCCTTTACATTGAGCTGTGTCCCTAACCTTTTTTATGTTTTGAGGCAAGGATCTTGCTAAATTCCTGAGTTGTCCAAACTGGCCTCTAACTTGGAATCCTCCTACCTCAGCCTCCCAACCGTGCTGGGATTAGAATGTGTGTATCACCATACCTGTCTTGAAATGTTTTAAATTAAGTACACTTTTGATTTGAGCCAAATTTGCCTTAACCATTTTTTTTTTTTAGCATTATTATTGATGTTTTGTTCCTGGATCTAATACAGTATACTTTATCACATTTAGAAGAATGTGGGGTTTTTTTAGCATTTAAGCAAAATTTGCTTTAACCTTTTTTTTTTTTTTTTTTAACATTACTATTGATATTCTGTTCTTGGATCTTATACAGTATACTTTATCACATTTAGAAGAATGTGGGGGTTTTTTTAGCCAGGGTCTCACTCTGCAGTTTGGGCTGGCTTTGAATTCACTTTTATTTTTTTTTCTTGAACTTTTTTTTTTTTTTTGAAACTCACTTTCTAGCTCAGGTCTCAAACTCACAGTGATACTTCTGCCTCAGCCTTCAAGAGTGCTCGAATTCCAAGTGTGCACCATTTGACTTGGTGAAGAATGTGTCTTTATTTTAACTTTAGGTGGCACACATTTATTAGATTCCAGGCAACATACTAATCTTTGAGAACACATTGAAAAAGAAATAGCTACAATTCCTTTTATGAGATGCCTATTTTTTTGTTTTTAATTTTTGGCCAGCTTAGCCCTCTGAGTGTGGAGCTAGCGCAGCACGTGGTGCTGGGGATCAAACTGCGGGCCCCTGTGCCTGCCTAAGCTTGCCTAAGCAGGTGCTTTAGACTGCTGACCTATCTCACCAGCCTGTTTTTTTTTTTTTTCAGCCTGTTTTATTTTTTATTTTTTTGGAAGCTTGTCACATACTGACTTTATAACAAGGAGGCTTATACTTCAGTCTGCTGAAAGGGATGTCAGGTTAGCTTCCTGAATTTCTTTTCGGATGGCACATAAGGAATGTTAGCGCTTTATCAAAGTATTTGTGTTATAGTAACAGAAAAGCAGATTTTTAAAGTCAGTACATTCTATTAAAGTTAGTAATAAAAGAATAGGTTTGAATAGCTGATGATGGGTTGATTTGAAATTATAACTACATAAACTTAATCATTTGCTAATTCTTTTCTTTTGTCTGTGTAACGTGAAAATATAAAGAATATAAGAATGAGGGGAAAGAACTGTTTTGAGCTTGGGGAGTTTGAGTAACAGTCCTGTTTATTGTGTATACAAAACTCTTGGCCTGGGAGAAAGCTCAGTGACGTGGTACCTGCCTGGCAAGTGCAAGGTCCTGAGTTCAATCCCTGGTACCCAAGACAAACTATAACAACAAAAACTTCTTAAAGTGCCCTGTATTAAGTTTTCACTAAAGTTTTTATTGTTGTTATTGCTCTTCTAATCTGCATATGTAATTCTAACTGAAGCACACCAGTGATAACGGCTATTTATTTCTATTGTTGCTGCTGCCGACCAAGTCCCTAGGATCTTAGAAATAAGATAGGATTAAGGAGTTGGACAGAATCACTGTATTCATGGCCTACAACTTTGGAAGGAACTTTCTTTATACTCACTGGTTATGAAAACTTTAAAAGGGAAAGATAGCAGTAGCTATGGTTTGATTGGTTTTTAAAAAAATATTTATGTATTTATTTGGTACAGATAGTTTCAGGGCCAGCATGGCATATGGTACCAGGGATTGAACTTGGGTCCTTGTGCTTGCCAGGCAGGCACTTAGACAGCTGGGCTATCTCCCCAGCCTTGATTGTTTTTTTATACCAATAAAACTTTTGAAATTGTCTCTTAAGAGCAATTCTTATCTCTTTATGTTCTAAAAGTAATTTTAGTTACATATACATGCCTTATATCTCTGTTGATTGGAATTTAGTTTTGGCTGCTATTTATCAGATGTAAAAATAATCTGTTAAGTGACAGTAACATAAAGAGCTCTAAAATTTAAAGTAATTAAATTAATACTGTAGATATTTTTGTGAAAGCAAAATCATATCACAGACAAAAAAAGTTAAGAAACTCATGATGTGAATTTCCTAATATTTGATAAAATTTCTGAATACTGCATGTGATTTTTGTGTTTTTGGTTTGGAAATCAGGAAGCTTACCTTTTGTAATTTCCCTCCAGGTCACTTAGATATGTTTCATGCTTTACGTTCCTCTTACTTGTTTCGACAACATTCAAGAACTCTTCAGAGACTTTGTTCAGATCTTCAGTACTGGCCAGGTATTAAGCAACAACTGTGTTTGTTTTGAAAAGTATGATAGATTACTTAACATTTTGAGATTTGTTTTAATGAAGCTAGTAATTATGACTATCTGTTTGCAGTGGACAGTACTTAAGAGTACTTGGAATTTATTAGTTTAGGTAGTTCTATATTGTTTTAGATCTGGAAAATGTGTAATAGGAGCTATAAACTGTGTGTGAGTGACAAATACCATAGTAAACCAAACTCCTGGATATTTACCTACATGTATTTCAAAATAATTGACTTACCTACATTTGTTTACTAGCCCTCATATCAAAAGCCTTTTGAAAGGAAAGAAAAGCTAATAATAATAAAAAAGTGAGAAAAAAAAGTCTAAAGGATGACCAGAACAGTTTTAATAAATTTAAAATAGGTGACAAATTGATAATGAAATCAAATTTTCATTCATTACTCATTAATTGATTGCGAGGCACTAGTGATACAGTAGTCCCTCTTTTGTGGTTTGACTTTCGCAGACTCACTGTTCTGTGGGTTTTCAAAAAATGCTAATCTAAATTATTATTTTTGTTTTTAATTTTATGTATTTGGTATAGGGTTTTACTACACAGCTCAGACCACTAGTGATCCTCCTGTTTCAGCCTCCCCAGTGCTGAGATTATAGGCATGTGCCACCTTGCCCGGCTTGGTGGTTGGCTTAGTGTGTAGTATCTGGGGTCTAACCTGGTCCTTGCACATGCCTAGGCAGGTCTTTAGACTGCTGAGCTATCTCTGTGACCCTGATCTTCTTTTTTTGTTTTTTAAATAATTTTATTGAGAAGGGGCTGGGGAGATGGCTCAGTGGAATAAGCGCTTCCCTGGTAAGCTCAAGGGCCTGAGTTCAATCCCCTGTTCTGGGGGGGGGG